GCCAACCAACCAACCAGCCAGCCAACCAATCGCTCATATGCCCATCACCATTCGCACACAGGCAGTTATCTTGGAGGAAATGCCTCCGTATGTCGAGAATCAGCCTAGTCTGATGAATAAATTGAGGCAAAAAGTCACTACAACAAAAACAACATCTTCGATGACGTCATCATCAACAACGACAACAACAACAACGTCAAAGTTTGATAACAAGTCTAAAGAGCTGAATATCGTAATTGTTGCTTTTGTTTTTTTTTTCTTGTTTCGTCTCTTCTAGATTTTGAATGTACTTTTGTCTTCTTTTTTTTATTCAGAAGGTATGTACGTATGTGAGTGTGAGTTTGTAAGTGTGCGTGTGTGTGTGTGTGCGTGTGTGTGTGTATTTTTGTATGCCAGTTTTCACGTTTGTGTGTGCGTGTGTGCGTGTGGACAGCACTAACATCAACATTAACAGCAATAACACCAACATCATCAACAACAACAGAAACCATCGCAACTAGTATCATCACCTCGGACAACAACAACAACATCAACAGCAACAACATCAACAGCAACAACATCAACAACAACAACACTAACATCCGCAAAGTTCGGACCACCTCCCATTGTCTCCTGTGACGTTTCCAAGTATTTATTATTATTATTATTATTATTATTATTATTAATATCGTTTATTATTTTGCTATTGCTGATTTAAATCCGCTATTGCTGACCTGACCTAATAACTTGACCCAGATTCGCGCTGGCCAACCAGGGTAACCTCTACGAGGATGACCTCATTCAGATCGGGGTGAGGTCAGAGTTCAGGAAGAATTTAGGCCGTCTGCACCTCTACTACGGTAACAAGTCGTTGCATCAGTTTACTGGGTTCAGAACCACCGTGTGCTCTAGGAGGGCCATCGAGGAGTTATTTGGAAAGGGTTGTTTGTTGTTGCTGTTGATGTTGTTGTTGTTTTTATTGTTAATTTGTAATTTTTCATGTTTCTTAGATGCGTTCAGAGCTGGTGATAGCAAAAACATGGCCGACGCTATTATTGTCATTGACGACGACGAGACATCAACCACAACAACCACAGCCACAGCAACCACAGCCACAGCAACCACAGCCACAGCAACCATAGCTACAACAACCACAGCCACAACATCAAAAGCGTTAGCGACAACAGTAACGACAACAATAACAGCGTTAATACCGCCGATTAATAATAATAATAATAATAATTATAATAATAATGATAATAGTAACAATGCGACTTTAGTCCAGTTTATCGTCAACAACAATAATATTATTATTATTAATGATGGCATTAATAACAATAGCAACAACAACAACAACAATAATAATAATAATAATAATAATAACTCCCACCACAATATATTTATCTCTAGTTATATCCTTTTTTTCATTTCCATTCAATTTTTTCCTCTTCTGTGTTATTTTATCATTGCTGTTATATTATTACCGTAGTTTAATTCATATTATATATTCTATTATGACCGTTTAACTCACTTGTATTTGTGATTAATCAACCGACCGACCAACCAATCAACCAACCAATCAACCAACCGACCGACCGCACACGTTTGAGAACCATGCTATCGAATTTGGACCTAACCATAGAGGCCCAGGTTCAAAAGCAACAGCTGCTCAATATCGAGTGCGCCGATGACTTCACTGAGCCTCCAATTTTAGTCGTCCATTTTAAGTTAGTATTCACCCAGCCAATCACAATAAACTACTGACGTCTCGTCCCAATTAGACAACCAATCATTACGAGCCATCAATACGTCACCCCAATTAACCGACCAATCATCACAATTCATCATGAAAATGTTGATCAATCGGGCCAATCAGGTACTGTGATACAAGTAGAACGCTGTTCATTGGTCTGCCGATATTGTTGAATAAATTCATCGAGGGTTCCATTATGGATGCTAATACTTTTTTTGTTAGGTGGAATAATTTATCTAGGTTGGTTGGTCGGTCGGTTAGTTGGTTGATTTGCTGGTTGGTTGATTGATTGGCTAGCTGGCTGTTTGGCTGACCTGACTGGCTATTTCATTAATTTTTTTTAATATAATTTATTGATTGGATGAACGAACGAACGAATGAATTATTGAAACTTCGCCATGCACCTCCTCTTGGCAGGCCGTCGCAGGAAGTGCAGAAGATTATACTAGCCAAGTACTCCATGAACGATGACGTCATCAAGCAGAAGGTGAATGAATGAATGAACAAACGAACGAATGAACATTATCACATTGGCGCATCGTCACATTTTTCAATTCGAGCGAATGTCATGAATGAAACGAATGAACAAATGAATGGATAAATGAATAAATGAACGAGCGAATGTAATAAACTCTACATTCCCTTCAATCACGACACATCAAGCTCTCGCTATTCGGTCTAACGGTACTCGACGGTATAGATCCGAACCCGGTGAATATCGTATCTGCCGGTATCTTGAATACGGCCTCCCTTCTTATCGGCGTACTAGTTAGATTAGAACTAAACCATATGGCTCAGGTTATCAGTGTTGCTGTTATTGTTGTTGTTATTGTTGTTGTTGTTGTTATTATTATTGTTGTTATTATCATTGTTGTTGTTGTTGTTGTTGTTTTCAATTTTTGTTTTACCTGATGAATTATTTATTGATCTGGATTCTGCTCTTAACGTGATTAAATGGATATCGTAATGTTTTTCATTCGCCATATTTAGCTGAGGTTGTCTCCTTATCTCTTGGGCTTTCTACCAAATAAACCTATTGAATTGAATTATTATTTTTATTATTGTTATTATTATTGTTGTTGTTGTTGTTGTTCTTATTATTATTCAGATGTACAGGCTAACAGTGAGGGCTTACAAAGACGGTGTTGCAGGCACGATGTGCTCGCTACTGGAACAGCAGTTATGATGATGATGGTGATGACGACGACGACGACGATGATGATGATTGTGTATATATATATATATATGTATATATATATGTATATATATATATATATGTATATATATATATATATATATATATATATATGCCTTGCCTTTTTTTATTTTGCCTTCAAATAAATCTGCTATAACATATTGCTATAATTATATATACTATATATATTATATATGTTTATATCCATTTTTATATATTCAGTTAATTTTATAGTATACATGTGTTTATATACATATATGTATATATATACATATATATATAATATACTTAACTATATTTACATTTTTTAAATTACTATGTTACATGTATGTTTTTCTCTTTTTTTTCTCCGTCTGTCTAGATTTCTCTTTATCTCTCTTTATCTTTCTTTCTTTCTCTCTCTCTCTCTCTCTCTCTCTCTCTCTCTCTCTCTCTCTATGTATGTATGTATGTATGTACATATAATATAATTCAAAATGACTACAGGAGTATTATATTTATATTATATTTGTATATAAGTTGCTATGTTACATATATATTTCTTTCTTTTTCTATCTAGTTTTTTCTCTTTCTTTTTTTCTCTCTCTCTTTCTTTCTCTCTTTCTCTTTCTTTCTCTCTCTCTTTCTCTCTCTCTCTCTCTCTCTTTCTATGTATGTACGTATATAATTCAAAATGGCTACATAAGTAATATATTTATATTATATTTTATATAGAGATAGTTTCATTTTCTCTTTCATATCAGTGATATGGCACACGTATTATTTTTACTATTCTTATTTTTACAATTCATTTACTCGTTCATATAGTCATTTTTTTCATTTGTTCATCCATTCATTCACTCACTCATTCACTCATCAATTCATTTTACTCATTCATTCACTCATTTATTTATCATCATAAGTGCGTTGCATATATATATATACTATATTATTCCAGGCTTCTTTATTAAGTTTTTTGGCGCGTGTACACACACACACAAGCACACACACATATATAAATAAATAAATAAATATAAATATATATAAATCGATCACTTGGTACGTGTTAACATAGTTTCCATATATCCCCACATTTTTTGTTTTTTTTTTTTGTTTTTTTTTTTGTTTTTTTTGTTTTTTCTCTGGTTTTTTGTTTAATTCCTTTACATAATCATTTGTATCAAAATATATATCTAAAATTATCATTAATAAAAAGTATTATTTATAAACTTGCATCCCGCCATTTAAATTGCTTTTAAATTATTTATTTTCTTTGTTTTTTTTCGTATTTTGTTTCTGTTTGTTTATTTATTTTCTTTGTTTGACGTCATACATACGTGGTTTTTTCATCTAGCTGGCATGCTTAGTCATTTCTATTTGTTTTTGTATTTGTATCGCTTCATGTGTTACCATTCTTTCCTAATTTTCCATTTTTAAATCTCTTTTCTTTCACCTATTTATTGTTAAGCTTACTTTTAGTTTATATTTTTATTTCATTATTAATTTTAAGTATTCATTTTCTACTCTTTTTTTCTTCACAATTCGATTTAGACGTAAATACGTCTCTGCATGTGTATGTATGTGTGTGTATGTGTGTTTGCTTGTCTGTGTGTATGTGTATTATTATCTATGTACGTATTTATGTATGTATGTATATTTCCCTGTATTCTCTGTTATTAGTTTAAAAGTGCCTAGACTATTGATGATAAGTAATTGTTGAAATACTTTAACAGTGTTTTTTATTCAGTGAAATAAATTCAAAAATGGTTTTTTGTAGCGTTTAATTAATTATTTAATTGTTTAATTGTATGAAGGAATGGTTGATCATTTATATACTTAAGTGCGTTTTTAGTTTTATGTCTATTTTCTTCCATCCCTATTTTTACTGCAGTTCTGATTTAGCCCTCGTTACGAAATTTTTTCACGTGTTTATGTTGTTTAGTAATTTAAAATTAATAAATTCGCAGGTTACGGAGAAATTAGGATATCTATTATTTTGCTAATAATTTGTCGGTTAGTTTCGTGATTGTTATATAAGTTTTTGGTAAATGCGATCTCAATTAGTAGCTTTCAACCAAACTACTAATTCACTAAAATAAAATAAACCAATCTGAATCACTGACTAACTAATTACTGACTTATGTAGAAAAAATAACTATGGGCAAAAGAAAATTGGACCCCACGCCAACAGACGAACCAGAAAACAAGAAAATAGCAAAAGTATGTCTGTAAAATATTTCTAATTTTAAGTGATTAAAAATCATTAAATAATAAATATTATTAAAAATTAAATTATTTCATTAAAATTGAAAAATAAGAATTAGGACCTAATTCTTAAGGAAGATTTAATGAGTTGTTAAAAGCATTTAAGTTATTAATATTTTATAAATAAAAATGTCTTTGTAATTTATATGTAAATATGCATGTTGTACGTGTATTAAAGTGGAAATAAATCAAGACTAATCAAATTATGAATTTTTTGTTTTTTATACATTTTAATATATAATTATTTTTATTTTTTTCAAATTTAATTAATAATAATAATAATCTGACTAACTGGTTATTATTTATATTAGTTATAATATAATGAAATATATTTATTACCAGAAGTCGAAATGGACTAATAAAACTAGAGTCTTGGTGTTTTCGTCTCGTGGCGTCTCGTTCACGCAGCGGCATTTGATGATGGATTTGAGAAGCATGATGCCCCATTCTAAGAAAGGTTTGCTGTCATTTTTAATTTCTTCTTCCTTTCTTTCTCGTGCCTTATCCTTTCAGGACATTGGCGACCATCAACCTCCACAAAATCTTGTCTTTAGCACTTTGTAGTAGTTGAAATGTGGTGATATTCAATTGGTCATTTTTAACTTATTTATTAATTTGTTTTAACAATTTGTTAACAATTTTTTTTTATTTTTAAGAATCGAAAAGGGAGAAAAAGGACAGTCTGTTTGCCATCAATGAGGTCTTTGATTTTTTATAAATTACTTATATTAAATATAATAATGATATTATAATTAATTTTTCCTTTATTATTTATTTATTGTGTTTTTTTAAAGTATTTATAATCTTTCAATCACTACTGTAGATATGTGAGATGCGCAATTGTAACAAGTGCCTCTACTTTGAGAATAGAAAAAAGTCATCTCTTTATATGTGGTAGTTGGTTGGCTGGTTGGTTGGCTGATTGGTTAGTTGATTGATTTGTCAGTCGGTTGGTTGGTTGGTTGGTCAGTTGATTGGCTGATTGGTTAGTTGATTAATTGGTCAGTCGGTTGGTTGGTTGGTTAATTGATTGGCTGATTGGTTAGCTGATTAATTGGTTTGTTAATTGGTTGATCAATTACTAATAATGATAAAGTTATGCCTAAAATTTTTAATTAGGATGTCCTGTGTTCCTGCAGGTCCTTCTGCTAAATTCCTCGTTGAAAACAGTATGCTCTTTGTTTTATCTTAATATACACACACATACATATATACATACATGCATGCAAACCCACACACACATATGTACGTACACATAAACATATAAACAAACAGTAAATACATACAAACAAACAGTAAATACATACAAACAAACTGTATATACATACAAACAGTTTATACATACATGCAAACATACAGCACATACAAACAAACAGTACATACATACATACATACACACATACATACATACATACATACATACATACATACATACATACATACATACAGTACATACAATGTTGGGACTGAAGTTGACAGGGAACTGCTTGAAAGGCTCGAGGCCTTTGCTGTCATTTGATAAGGTGAAGGTCATCTGTTTGCTGATGATGATTATAGTGTTGTTGATGATGATGATGATGATGATGATGAATATGAATATGATTACTATTATAATTATTACAGAGCTTATGATCTTGCAGTTGACATTGGCCTGTTAATTAATTGCTGATAATGAGAATGATAAAGATGCTTGGTCATCATTATTATTGGCTGTAATAATATTGGCAGTAATAATATTATTATTATTATATTATTATTATAATATTACTATTATTATTATGAATGATAATAATATTTATTTTTATTATTCTTATCATTTTTATTAACAGACATTTGAGACGGCTCCACATTGGAAACTCTTGAAAGAGATGTTCACGCAGGTCCGTCGATGACACCCGTAATCTCTATGTTGTTCTGTTGTTGTCTTCTTCTCAGCTATTGCTATTTCCATTATAATCTATGTTATTTTTATTATTGTTATTATTATTATTATTATTCCAGATTTTGAGTGTTCCTTATCATCACCCCAAGAGCAAACCGTTCGTCGACCATGTTCTCACCTTCACCATTGCAAACAATCTCATTCATTGTAGGAACTATCAGATAGCAGAGGAGAATGCCGAGCTCGTTGAGATTGGTCGGTTTGATTGGTTGAGTGGGTGGGGTCGTTTGTTTGATTGGTTGAGTGGGTGGGGTCGTTTGTTTGATTGGTTGAGTGGGTGGGGTCGTTTGTTTGATTGGCTGGGTGGCCTTTGTTGATTGGTTCAGTGAGTGCTTAATTGAATGAGGGGTCAGTTGATTGAATTGGTTCAATTGAGTTGGTTCACTTGGTTGCTTGATCAATTGATTGATGGATTAAGTTTTTCAATGGATGAATGAATGAATTGGTGTGAATTTTTCATTGAATGTTTTTATGTATTATTATTATTAACAGTTCACTTAATACTGCTGGATGTGATTAATAATTTCAAAATAAATTACGTCAGAATCATTATTTTTTGAATGACCGTGAATAATTTATGTTAATGAACCAGGCCCGAGAATGTCCTTGAACTTGATCAAGATTTTTAGCGGTAGTTTTTCAGGGGAGATTTTGTACAACAACCCCAAGTTCACAAGCCCCAACACTGTTTGTTACCGTTGCTATTAATAATTATAATATATTAATAATAATAATTATTATTGTTGTTGTTACATGTTTGGCTATTATATAATTACATGAATTTTTACAACAATATTGTTAATCACGCACCACAGATAAGAAATATGTTGAAGCTACAGCAGGGTACTAAGTATCTTGGCAAGTTGGCCTCTAGGCAGGCTAGGGAAGTGCGGAGACCCGATTATTCCCTACTGCGAAACCCCATTGATGACGTTTTTGGGGTCCAAGATGATTGATTGGCTGGTTGATTGATTGATTTACTGTGATTGGTCGATTGATTGATTGAGTGGTTATTTATTTTTTTTGGTTGAGTGATTGGTCGATTTGATTATTACCTGGTTGTTTTAAATGATTGATTCACCATGTGATTGATTGATTGATTGATTGATTGATTGATTGATTGATTGATTGATTGATTGATTGATTGATTGATTGGTTGGTTGGTTGGTTGGTTGGTTGGTTGGTTGGTTGGTTGGTTGATTGATTGATTGATTGATTGGATAGTAATTTTGTCAAATTCATGCAACATTTCATCAACCAGTCATACATTTATGTAACTTGTATGCCAATGTAGATCCGTTGATATGACTTACTGTCTTTCTTTTGTATATTATAAAAGGGCAAAATAGAAAAAGAATTTATAAATATTTAAATTAACGTCTGTCTGTGTGTGTGTGTGTGTGTTTGCGTGCCCATGTGTGTGTGTGTGTGTTTGCGTGCCCATGTGTGTGTGTGCGTGTGTGTACAATTATAAAGAAACGAAAATTAATAATTCTTAAAATCAAACAGAATAATTAAAAGGTTTGGCTTCAGATGTTCTAATTCGTCTGTCTGTCATTAGTGATCGTAGCAGTAGTGTACTGCTTTTTATACTGCTAGTACTTTTACTACTGCTGCTGCTGCTGCTACTACTATTACTACTACTAACTTTTATTACTATTGTACTTGTACTGATCAAAATTTAGCGTTTATTTATTTTTTTAGTTTTAAATGAAATTTGTTTTAATTATTGTTATTGTCAGTGTCGTTATTATTGTTGTTATTGGTGGTGGAAGTAGTAGTATTGACGGCGTTTTTTGTCGCTTCACTTGTTGCCTCAGTTGTTGTAACGTGGCTAATGCTGGTGCTACTACTGGTAGTAGTGGTGGTGGTGGTGGTGGTGGTAGCAGTAGTAGTAGTGGTGGTAGCAGTAGTAGTACTAATGTTGTAGTTGTCGTGGCTTTCTGTTATCGGTGTTATGTTGGTAACTTTCTTACTGATGCTATGGTTGCTTCTACTACTGCTGCTGCTGCTGTGGTTGACATGTTGTATTTCTGGTATAAAGTTGATGTTGCTTGGTACTACCATTTGTGGGTTCATCCCATAAATTACTATTGGGGTTTCGATTTGACAAATTATTGTTAGTTTATGTTATTAGTGTTGTTATTATCGTTAATGTTATTTTTATTGATGTTATATTTGTTGTTATTGTCGTTAATATTCTTTAATCGATGTTATATTTGTTGTTATTTTAAAGCAAAAAAAATTTATTTTACGGCTTATTTGACATGGCTATTAAGCGTACATGTATAAATGTACACATACAGACTAGATACAAACATTTCTTCGTTAATACACATACATACACACACAAATACGTGAAGATACCTGCAAAATGCACTCCAACTCCAATACAGATAGCTATCACCCCAAAACAGAGCATCAACACCATTAAGATTACGGCTGTTTTCGCTCCATTCGACTCGATACACGGACATAACCGGTCCAAAAGAGCATCTCTTTTGTAATGAATCTCTTGATTTCTGTAGCCAAAAACCGGTTTCTGGATAGAGATGTCGATCTGTTCTGATTTGTTTTTTGGTTGATCATTTTTGTTGCGCTGTGTTGTGAATGGGGTTCGAGGCAGACGATTTGGTGATTTCACAAATTCTGTTTCGCTGTTTTTAGAACTGCAAGAAATATTTTCTGGTCTGTCCGAAAAAGCGCTATCGGCAAAAATGGAAATGACGTTTTTGGGACCAATTTTGTATTTCGGCACAAAACGAGGTGTTTTAGTTGAGTTAGGCATGAAAACTCCTGGCTTGAATGCCACTCGAGATTGTGTTGATGATGGACTTATTTCTGATCTTTTGATTTTGAAGATGGTGTTGCTGTCACTGCTACTGTTGTGGTTTTTAGTTGTCGTATCGTTGTCAGTTACTTTGCTGCTGCTGTTTTTGGCGTTGTTGTCGTCGATGGTACTGTCGTCGAAGTTGTTCTCTCTGTTGGCGTTGTTATCCATATCCGGGTTGTTGTTGGCCTGGTTCCTGTCATTCATCTCGACGTCATCGATGATGTTTATTATTACTTCAATTACTGTTATTGCTCTTTTTATTTATTATTGTGAACAATGTGTTGTCTCAATGGCACAATATTTTATAATTTGTAGTTAACTGGTGTAACTCATTTATTTATATTTGGACTAAACGATGACTAAAATTTTATATTATATATAATTATATATACATATATATCAATATTGTGTTTTTATGTATGTGTGTGTATGTTTGCCTGCATGTGTTTGTGTGTATTAGACCGTGGTTTACAAAAAGATTAGCAGCGCAAACATTTTTATTATTGCCCTTGTACCTATTGACTTATTAATTTTTATTAGTAGTAATAATAGTAATAGCAGTAGTAAAGTAGTAGCAGTATTGGTTGTTGCAATACTAATGTGAATATGTATTTATAAATGTATGTATGTATATGTATGTGCGAGCAAATGTTTGCATTAAGTAAATATTTAATATAATGCAAATAGTGAGAATGCCTTAAGGTGGATAAGCCAATTAAGGTAAATTTATTAATCCAACATCAAAATAATGACGCAGATTCAAGGAAATAAATTGTATAGTTGATCGTTCCGTTTAGTCATCCTGCCTTTCTCTATATCTGTTTTCTCTCTCTCTCTCTCTCTCTCTCTCTCTCTCTCTCTCTCTCTCTCTCTCTCTCTCTCTCTCTTAGACAAAATCTAAGTGCACATACATTCAGACACATACATAGTACATACACACTGACGCAAACAGAACAGACACATACACACACACTCGTACATGCATATGTACATGCGTGTGTGCAAACAAACTTTTGTACTTATTCATCCTTTTATTTTTGGCACGTTTTTGGTTTTTGTTGCTTTCATTTGTTTTTAGGTGTGCTGTGGATCTAAACTCAAGTGCGTGGAGTATTCTAAGACGGTCTTACGCATACACACAAATACACGTATGCAAACAAACACACGCACACAAGCTTATTATTACTTCATTTTAGAGACTCCATTATAAACCGTACCATGGAAGTTTAAGTTATTCAACTGTCAGTTGGTCCGTACCACGTACTATGGGATTTTATGAAATTCAGTGATCGGTCTCCCTACCTTGAGAAGTCTGTTCATTTAAGAATAAATTTGGACTGTATATAAATAGATAATGCTAATATAATAAACAAATTTGATGAAGAGACGGATCGTAAAGTTACGTAATCGTAAAGTTTGAAGAGTTTATTCAGTGCTAAAAGTATTTTAAGATCTTATCTATCCAAGGGGAGGCCTATTTACCAGCATACAACACCTTCTTATGGGTTGAAGCAGGGATATGCAAAGAACCTCAATTTTTTCAACTTTTAATTATTTTCAGTAATGTCTCCCCTTGCTCCAAACCACATAACTAGAATAATAGGACTAATCGATCAATTCGATCTATCGGTCGGGCTATTTGTCGTGCTTGGATTGTTGGCTTACGAAATTACGTGGATTTTAACGAGCAAGCTAAATGAAATATTTACTTGATTTAATATGCTTAAAACATTGTAGTAATTCTATTTAATTTTAATAATGATTAATAGAATTATGTATTATTAAATTATTTTTGTTAATTTGAATATAAAAATAGCTTTTGGTCCGGTGAAATCCGGTGGCTTACTGAAGCCGAAGGTTGGCTTAGTAGGATTGAACTATAGCACCCTTTTTTTTACACTATTCGATCATGTTAAAAATTGGTTTGCTTATGAAATAAACGGCCTAAATAAATCAAAATTGTTATTTGAACAACTATCTTCATTATATTCAATGAATATTTTACATTCTGCTGGTGCTCATAAGAAACTGGCTGCTGAAATCATACGTTGGCTTACAGCGGTAAAGAAAGAAAAACACAGTAGTTGCTTTTATTTGAATTCATTCAAAAATAAAAAGTGACGGTTAATTAAAATTTTAAAATGTCAATTTTTTTTTAAATTCGTATTTTAAATAAACAAATATAACAAAATATCGACCGATAAAAATAATTATTATCCATTATTATTATTATCATACACACTCCTTAGAAGTTCTCGAAGGATAATAAACCACGTAACATGAACATTTAGTAAGAACAGTTCACAACATATCATAATGACCAAATCAACATAAACATAAATAATTTATACATGCATATTTACAAAGTAAATCAAGAAATATCCAAAAATTATATAACCAATTTAAAAAAAACTAGAAACCAGTCAACATTTAATGAATAAATAAATAGACATTATTAAAAAGATTGTTCAAAAAGGTACAATTTAAGGCGACGACGAGAATGAAATGTAGTTTGTTTTGTTGGTGTGGTGTTGTGAAGCGAAAACAAACACATCACACAAAACTAGTAAGAAGTCGCAAGAATAATAGTCAGTCACCTACCTATAATAAAATTACTCTCAGGGCCCTAGCTTACTTATAAACATTGACTCAACTCACTTACCTACAAATTTTTATTTCTCGTTTTAGATGTTTCAAATATTTTATTTAACATATTTTAGCGTTTTTATTTTACTTGAAGATTTTTAACCAATGTTAAGCCCTAGCCTACCTACAATTGTTTAACTCATCTCAGTCCCTAACTTACCTATGAATTAAATTAAAGCCCGGTTCACGGTAAAGAAAATATAAAGTTGAAGAGAAACATAGCAACAACGGCACCGAATGAATGGATGTTGTGTATGTATGTGTTGTATTGATGTGTGTATGTAAATGTGCGGGCGCGCACTCTCCAGAAACTTCACTCACTACCGACGAACCTCCATTGCACCGACCATCATCTGACACGCATCGATGGAATGAATTTGACCGGATACTGAAAAATAGAAAAAAAAATTAATTCACTAAAATAAAAAACAAGCAATTGGAAAAAATAGGTAACTTATCTTTTTGAGATAACACTCAATCTTTGTTCAAATTCGAGTACTTTCAAAGGTACAATGAGACAAAAACAAATTTACCTTTAACATTATCTTCGATTTGTCATCGGAACGATCATCATGAGACCACCATCTGAAACGTGCTGACGCCCACCACAGCCCACAGCTTCTGTAGACAAGTTTTTATTAATAAGCGTAAATCAAGAAACAAAGGAACGAACGAATAAATGATTAACTGAATGATTGAACGATTGGTTGAATGAATAATTTAACTAATTAATTAGTCAACCAATGATTTAATGAATGAATAGAATGAATCAATGAATAAATTAACTGAGGAATAATTTGAAAGATAGTGATAAAATGAATGAATGAGAAAAATAAAAAAAGAAACTAAATCATACTTCAAAAACCGTCGTTGTTGTTATCTTCGAATTGTCATCGGAACGATCATCATGAGACCTCCATCTGTAACGTGCTGATGCCCACCACAGCCCACCTCTCATCATTCTGTAGACATTTTTTAATAGCGTATTAGTAAATCAAGGAACAAAGGAACGATCGAATAAATGATTAACTGAATGATTGAATAATTAGTTGAATGAATGAGTGAATGAATTAATTAATAAATCAATGATTCAATTAATGAATAGAATGAATTAACAAATCAATAGAAGAATAATTTAAAAGGTTGAGTGATAAAATGAACGAATGAGAAAAATAAAAAACGAAACTAAACCTTACTTCAAAAATCGTCGTTACTGTACTTTCCATTGCACCGACCACCACCATCTGGTCGGCACACAAAATACCATCCGAACTTCAGAGTGTCAGTCGAACAGCCAACGAGCTGATTCTTCCTACACCACCATCATCATATGTAAATCATCATGAGACCACCATCTAAAACGTGCTGACTCCCACCACTGCCCACCTCTCATCATTCTGTAAACAAAATTTTTTTATTTGCGTAGTAGTAAATGAATGTTAGAATCTTAGAAGCAAAAAAAATTAAATTATAAAATGAAAATAATGTCAAATAAATAAAATTTTAAAATAATAAAGTAAGTAAAATGGGAAAAAAACTTACCGTCGTCCATTCGACAAAGGCAGAATATTGAATGCGGTCCGGTTCCTACGTTGTCCTCCAAAACTGGTGCCAGTCCTCCTCGAGGTTGTTGTTGAAACACAGCCCGTGTTGATGGAGAAAGATAGAGAAAAAGTAGATTCTCATCAGAAAGCTTAGCGGTGCCTGCATCTCAAATTGCTTAATAAAAATAATCCTATCTACCTATTCAATTACCTTAACTAATCTATATTTAATTGTTAATGGTACGATAGTCGAAAGTCCCCCTTCATTCTTCCTCCTTGCACAGAGGTTCACCGACAGCCAGGGCACCGGATAGAAAACCATTGCCGTGCGGTTAGTAGACTATTGCCGTGCGGATAGTAAACCATTTGCCGTCCGGAAGCCGTGCGGGTAGTAGACTATGGCCGTGCCGCATGGTAAATCATTACTGTGCAGGTAGTAAACCATTGCCGTCCGGATAGTAAACCATTGCCGGTACACCACTGGCCACCAAGGCTTACCTCTGACAACAGATTTCGAAATTCAGAGTCTATCGGCTATCGTACCCTCAACTTACCTATTCATTACAATTAAGCCCTAGCTTACCTAAAATTACAAAAAAACTCAAGAGCCCAATTCACTTGCCAATCGGCACCCACCCCACCACCTACGTAATGCCTTGGGCTCCAACTTAGTAATAATATAAAACTTAAACCCTAAATCTATTAATGAGTGTGTGTTACAACGTAGCCTTAACTTACCTATTCATTACATTATGGACCTAGCTTACCTAAAATTACAAAACTCAAGAGCCCAATTCATTGGCCTTTCGGCACCCACCCCACCACCTACGTAATGCCTTAGGCTCCAACCTAATAATAATAATGTAAAACTTAATAACTAACTTACCTCTCGATACACTTACAGCGTTTATTTAATTTAAATTACAAGATTGTTCCTAGAATTAAATTATTGCTTTTAACTACCTATGAAATTAAATTACTCTCAACCTTAGTAATAATAAATTAGAATGTGTAATGAAAATAAAATAACGCTCAAATACTAATATATGTTTATGTATGTATTTGTGTGTGTGTGTATATAATACGCTGATGCGTGTAATGTGGGTGCGAAAAAAAATAGAAGAGATAAACTTACGCTGCCTACCTATTCAACTACATTAGTGTTGGATGCTTCCTATCTATCCTACCTACAATTAAAATTATGCCTATCTAACCTACCTATACAGCTATTTAATGTTATTGTGTGTATGTGCGTGTGCGTGTGAGCATTCTTACTTAATGTTAAATTACAGAGAAAAACAGAGAAAAAAGAATAAAACGTATCCCAGCCAGGCGTATCTTCTTTGCCACTGAATGAACGAACGTAGCCTGACATCTTCCACGGTGAATTCCTTTGGAAGCTTCAACCTGAATAAAATGGATGAAATGGAAAAATCTTATTTATTTGACTAATTTAAATGAAAATAAAAAAACGAGCCGCGGTGAATTCCGCCGGAAAAGCCAGCCAACTGGCAAAAAAAGAACCGCAAAGAAACCGTAAAACGTACCCCAGCAGGGCGTGCATTTTTTGCCACCGAATGAACGAACGTACTGATCGTCCACGATGAACTCCTCTGTAGACCTGGATAAATGAACCTGAAAAACCTAAATGAATGGTAAAATCTTATTCTAATCAATTTAAATGAAAATAACCGCAAAGAAACCGACCGGTCGGCAAAAAAAAGAGAAAAGAAGAGCAAAGAAAGGTATCTATATAACTCTATATAACTCTATATAACTCCTCTATATAACTCCTCTATATAACTCCTCTATATAACTCCTCTATATAACTCCTCTATATAACTCCTCTATATAACTCCTCTATATAACTCCTCTATATAACTCCTCTATATAACTCCTCTATATAACTCCTCTATATAACTCCTCTATATAACTCCTCTATATAACTCCTCTATATAACTCCTCTATATAACTCCTCTATATAACTCCTCTATATAACTCCTCTATATAACTCCTCTATATAACTCCTCTATATAACTCCTCTATATAACTCCTCTATATAACTCCTCTATATAACTCCTCTATATAACTCCTCTATATAACTCCTCTATATAACTCCTCTATATAACTCCTCTATATAACCAAGCATACTACCACATTCAATCAATAAAAATTCCACTAAAACCAGGAACCACCGCGTACCTGCTGAATGTATGATGTGAAACAAAACAAAAAAAAAAAACACAAAACAAAAATCACACCATCAAGTAGAGTAAAAGAATAGGAGTCCCTAACCTACCTATGTAACTAAATTACCTTATGCCCTAGCCTACCTATATAATTAATTAATTTTTACCTCACCTACCTATGCTTCATTAACTTAACTCAAGACTCATGAAGAAAGAGAAAAAGGAGTAAAACAGAACATAAAATACTACCACACAAACAAACATGATGTATGTATGTATGTATGAGCAAACGTTAAAGAACTCACCTAAAATTAAAAAAATACCACCTACAAACATGCAAACTCTATATAACTCTATATAACACTATATAACTCTATATAACTCTATATAACTCTATATAACTCTATATAACTCTATATAATAAAATAAAAATAAAAAAATTTTAAAAATAAAATAAATGAGATCAGACAGACTGCTTCAAGCGAGGCAGAATGCCGATCTGATTTTCATGTTGTCTCAGCTCCTCTATTTATACTCGTTTCAACCATACATTCTCATCATTTCAATCATTCGCATCAGTAAAAAACTTGTTTAATGTATATACTGCACTATTATACAGTCTTAACCACAATGCTAACCGTACTAAATTGAAGTCATCGAACGAACGCCTTCGAAACTTTCTGAAAATTGAAGTCATCGAACGAACGCCTTCGAAACTTTCTGGTTGGCTGGTTGAATCTGCTATATTGCTTTTCATATAAACATATAATCTAATATAATATAATTTAATTATTTGTATACATTGTCACTTTATATATATATAATAAAAATTCATTATAAAAGCAACAGTAATCAGTGCTATATATGTACGCACGCAGTTCAAATTTTTCGGGGAGAATTCAAAATAGTTTGAGACCACACCTTGCTTAACATCCGATTCCAAGCCGAGCCAAGCCAAGCTGAGCCAATATGCATATATTTATAAGCGCTTTTATGTTGAAATTTTGCTCGCTATATTTATATATTTTATAAATTCATTATAAAAACAACAGTAATCATTGCTATATATGTACGCACGCAGTTCAAATTTTTCGGGAAGAATTCAAAATAGTTTAAGACCACACCTTGCTTAACATCCGATTCCAAGCCGAGCCAAGCCAATTTATCTAATTATATGTATCTATCCATGTTTAAGATAAGTAGCATTAAACTTTTTATTCTATGCTATATAAACGCTCTGCTCGGTGGATATTATATATATCCATGCTCTGTTCTCACCTGGTTTACTTTTAGTCATTTACGGTTGAATCTTTTGATCAAAAGGTGGTAATAATAATTATTTTTGATATTTTTTATTCTTAATTTCATTTAACATTTTTTACTAAATAATTAGTTTTATTATTTTTCATCAAATCGTTCTCGGAAATGGTCAGAAGCAGGAGCAGATCTCCCCGACGAGGTTGGTTTGGAAAATTAGGAAATTTATATTTTAGACGGCGATAATATAGTAATTTATGATAATTTTTTCTACATTCGATGAACGAATTTATACAAAATTTGTTTCAAAACTATATATTCGAAGTTTACACGAAATAACTTTGGTTGTATGTTAAAATTTAACATTTGTTTTGTAATGCTTTTTTTTTATAAAATTAAAATTAATCTTCTCTTCTTGATTCTGAAGTCTTGGTCATCAATAATGATGAACGAATTTATACAAAATTTGTTTAAAAACTATAAATTAGAAGTTTACCCGAAATAACTTTTGTTGTATGTTAAAAAATTTAACATTAGTTTTGTGATGCTTTTTTTTATAAAATTAAATTAATCTTTTGATTCTGAAGTCTTGGTCATCAATAAGATCAGACATATCATAACAACATAGTTATAACTTTCTCAGTTTATTTTTATTTCATTTCAATTGAATAAAATGGTCTTTTTAAAGTTAAACTAAGTTTTCTAATTTATTGTTTTTAAGTTGTTTTCATACACTAATTTATTTTTAATTTGATAGATAAAAGAAAAAGATCTAGATCTCGTTCTAGATCCCGAGAAAAAGAGAGAGACAGAGAAAGAGAGGGCAGACCAGCTAGGTCAGTGGATAGAGATCGTGAGAGAGAACGTGATCGACGACGTATGTTTTTCTTTATCTTTTTCCTATGTTTAATTTTTATTTTTTGTGCAATTCATATTACTAAAATAACAATAGTAAAATGTATTTTTTTTATGATGTAAGGAATTAAAAACTAAAATATATATATTTTTTTTAAAAATATATATATATTTTTTTAATTAATTCCTATTTATTCTTAAATGAATTTGTTATATTTTTATTTTCATAAACTTACTTTAAATGATAACTTTTTAGTTTTGATTCACTTCAATTTACTTTTAACCAGGCCATCACAGATCAAAATCTCGGTCCCCACGACGACGACACAGATCATCTAGAAGATCAAGATCCGGGTAATTTGTTCTCAGCAAATTTTTTCAAAAACTTGTTTCTGGTTTTAAATCTATACCTAACAATCACGGTTCTTTTAATTTATATTCAAATGTATTTCCATGTTTATTATCCCCAATTTAATTTCCTAAAATAAGGTCACCAAACGATGACGATGTTGTATACACCGGGACCTCTCACATCACCGACGAACAGAAAAATGGCGCAATCTCTAGCAGCAAATCTAAGAACAAAAATAAAAACAAAGACAAAGATAAACAAAACGGTTAGGAGAGCTGTTTAATCACATATTTTCGAACTTTAACTATTTAAATAATATTTTTTTTTTTTATTAAATTTAATTTAATTTTTTCATACCAAAGGTGAGTCAGAAGATATAACAGAGGAAGAATTGGCGATGAGAAAAGCTATGGGGTTTTCATCTTTTGATTCAACAAAGGTATGGTGTTATTTTTGGTGCCTTTCAAACGTTTTCTGTTCACACTATATGGAACCTTTCAAATTTTGTCTATTCAACATTTGCCACTTTTCAAATTTTATTAACATCTATAATTTAGTACCTCTAACTTTATATCCATCTATCTATCCATAGCATGGAACCTTTGAATAGTTACCTATTCATTATTTGGCACCTTCAATTTATTTGATTTGTCTATCTTACTATAGCTACAGTTCTCATTTATGCTAACCAATCAAATTTCAGGGTAAGAAAGTTGATGGGACTGATATATCATGTATTAATGTGGTCCAGAAACGAAAATACAGGTAATTTATTATATTTTATATCAGTTATAATTATTTCATATTAAATAGTTGGTATACCATTTCGTCTTATTTTATTTCTATATGAATATTGATGACATGTTAATTACCCTTAACTCCACTAATCACAAACAGGCAGTACATGAACAGAAGAGGAGGTTTCAACAGGCCTTTGGACTTTGTCGCATAACTTTTTATAATTACTTTATTATTATTTTTAATAAGTGTTTTTCATTATGGTCATTTGTGGGGTTATTTGCATTTGAATTATGGTTGAACTATTATATTATCATTTGATAATTTTATTATTATTATATGAAAGATTAAATGTAAAATAATAAGTTAATAATATTTCGTACTGTTATTAGCATAGGTAAATGAACCTACCTATTCCTGTATATTTTAGTTTTCTTCTTATTCATGATATAATGTTCTTGGGTTTCATTTTCCTTGAAAATATTAAAACATATTAACGGGTAATGTAAGGTAATGATGTTATTATTTTCTACTGTTACTAATGTTGTGTAGTGAACTTCAAATGTTTTAATGGCTAATGGTAATTGTAGAATGTATACCATCTTTTACTCTAGTTCAGGAGTGGGCAAATTTTTGCTGTGAGGGCCGCATTGAGAATTATTTACCTTATCAGGTCCGCATATATACTATATATAGCAAATTTTTCGACCAGGAAGAGAATTTTTTAAGATTTGTGGCTCCTTTTTTGGTCATAATGTCTGGCTGACGATCTTTTTTGGCAAATAAGACCTCGCGGGTCGTAGTTTGCCCACACCTGCTTCAGTTTAAGGACGAATTTAAAGTAATATGTAACGTAGGAAAAATAGGTTTTTTTTCAGATTTTTGTTATTCGAAAAACATAAAATGTTTTATCCGTTTTTAATATTAAAATTACAATTTTAACAAATAACGAAAAAATATAACAGTCAATATAACAAAAACAAATGGTTTATTCAGCTTTTTTCATTGTTCTCTTCCAAAATTAAACTTTTTCTAAAATGTCTGCCAACTTTCAGGTTAAGTCTTCTCTGTTTTTTTTTCATTTGATCTTCTCCATCGAGTATTTCAGCTGGTTTCTCACTAAGTGTTATTCTCTTGTGTAAATTCACTAAGGCAGATAAATTGTCCTGCTTGCTTTGATTGTGATTGCTCTTTGGATGTTTATTTCTTTTTAATTTCCTTGCATTTTTCTGTTTTTTGAAGAAGGTAGAAGTTAATTTAGATTAAAATTGGATTCTAGTTTGTAGGGGAAATAATTTTCTCACCATAGATATGTATTGGTCTGTGTGCATGATGGAGTGAAGTTGCAGCTTTTGCTAAGTGGAGGAAAAAGTTAAAAAAAGGTTAAAAATGGAAATAGTTTCAACACTGAATTTATAATTTAATGATTTAATTTAATTGATAACACTTAATTACAGATACTATAATAATAATAACCTTAGTTGACAATGACATACCGCAACCTTCAACAGAGCAAATGAACAGCGGTTGGCACATCTGACTACTATTGCTATTATTATCGTTAATATTACTTTTGTTATTGTTATAATTCTCCAGATGGCAGATCCTCTTATGTGTTTTTAGGTTATACCTAGTCGTATAACTTCTCGCACAGCCATCCATGTTACATCTGAACGCTTTGTGCAATGAAATAACTGGGTTTTTTGCTACTTCCATTTGCACAGTTTCACTTTCATTTTTGAAATCATCGTGACTATTATCATTATTATTGTTGCTAATACTGTTGCCATTACCAGATGGCATATTTGAAATGTTCATATTAATTTTGGATTCTTTATTTGATTCTAATTCCCCGGGGTTTTCCACTTTAACGTCATCATCATCATCATTATCACCATCAGATAGTTTGAAGCTATAACAATCGGTTTCAGTTTCGTTATCATCATCATCTGAGATTAGATTGATGTTGATTTGATGCTGTTGTTTTTGTTGATGTATGGATAAATGTGTGCTTAGTTTAGAGTTGCTTTTAAATTTCATATTGCAGAATTTGCATGCGATGATTTCTGTGAGTAAAAAAACGTTAATGATTTAATCAATAAATATAAATAAATACGTAAATCAATAAATAAATAAATATAAATTTAACGTCATCTTATGATAAAATTTCATTAACAAATAACAAATAACTGAAGACAAATGAATCATCATTAAGAAGTATTTCACTACCAGTATAATATTAAATTAAATTTATTATAATATAATTAAATAATTTTTTATAAATAATATAATTAATAAAAACCTTTGTGATCTTGTGACTTATGCCTTCTCAGTAAAGACCATTTGCTAAATACTTCAGAGCAGGCAGCACATTTATATCCTAAGGTTAATATGTCAAAATTAATTAATTATTCAAACAATTAATTAATATTTTTATATATAAATTTTTTTTTATAATTAAATAGCGAATATTTTATTATATTATTGAAATTTAATTATTCCTATATAGGTACCTTCATGTGTTTTTGAATGCCTTTTCAACTTGCTATGTGATACAAACTTCTTTTGGCATTCCATACATCTATTATATATATATGTTTATATATAGAGAGAGAGGTGTGCGTGCGTGTGTTTGTGAGTATAAATATGCATTATTTTATTGACAAAAAAATAATTAACTAAATGAAAGAAATGTTAAACTGAATGTCTAAATGGTTAAATAAGAAAATTAATGTCCAAATGAAATGAATGAGTGCCTGAATGAATGAATGCATGAAGGAGTGAATGATTGAATGTGTGAATAAATAAATGTATAAACGAATGAATGATTAATGTATATGAATGAATGAATGAAAAATTCAAACTGAAATAATGTTGATCTTTTGTGTTCTTGGTAGTCATGGTGCCTCAGTTGGAACCTCTTAGAAAATGAAGCTTTGCAACCATCAACTGGGCAGTAATACTGATTTTTGGGAAATTATTTATTAATTTTTTATAATTATATAAATGATATAATATTATTATTGTTAATGCTTAAATAATTATTAATATCTTTTATATAAGTTGTGTAGCAAACAAACAACATCAAATTGACCATTATTCTATTTATTTATATTATATATTATAATGTGTTATTTTGACGATAATGATAAATAATAATAATAACAATGAAATAATAATAATGAAATAACAATAATAACAATAACTTTGTTGTCATCGTTGTTGTTGTTGTCTCCATTCAGGCCGTGGACAACTCTCAAATGTTTCTTCAACGAATCTTCTGAAACAAAATTCCTATAGCAACCATTTTCTTCGCATCTGACAATTTATTTTTTTTATTATTATAATTATTTAGAGATGTGTAAGGCACTGGAGAAATAACATACTATTATAAATGAATTAATTAAATAAATAATAAAAACACTACAATTGTTTTTACTAAAAAAATATATCATAATGTAGTAACAAACAAATGCCAGTGCACAACAACAACAATAATAATAACAACAATATTACATGACAACATCCCCTGGTGTCCTAATTTTCACATGAGTCTGTTTGACGTGGCGTTTAAGATGACTGTTCCTAGCGTAGGATTTGATACAATTTTCATAGGTGCATTTGAATGGTCGCTGATTTAAACAAAAAGATAAACACAAAGATTTGATATATAAAAAATGGATTTTTAAATTTAAATGAAAAATCATTATCATGACCACCTCCCCAGTGTGGACGCGTTCGTGTTGAATTAGGCGATTCAACTTACTAAACACTTTATCACAGTCGTCATAGGAGCAGACAAATTTTTCATGAACGCGCAAAGTTTTAGTGCCGGCTGTTTTCATTGATATGTCGGACAATACATTTATCGTTGGCGCAACTACCATCGCCTTGCCGTTATTATCCATTGTTGCGATCGGTGATGATATACTACTATACCTAAGATAATAATAGAAACATGTTATTCATTAATAATTCATATCCTAATTCGTACATTGCACTTTTAGGAATTGTTTTTTATACTAGAATCGAGCGATAATAAAAACCATGGGTTTGTTTATTGCAAAAAGTAAACAAAATACAATTACCATAAACTGCTATACTTTTAAAGAAATTTTAATAGAAAACTATTTTTTTTCATTTTAAGATAATTGAACTACATTTAAATAAATAAATTTTAACAAATACGTTTAAACAAAAAATAATTGTAACAACTTTGTTCCTGATAACACCTTTATCATCATCATCGTCGTAATTATTATTATTTCGTTCACTAACATTTCATTCAATCGAACGGGCCATTATTGATTATTTTTATAATAAATTTATTATTATGGAACGTTTTAAATGTATTTTACCTTCAAAAAATTTACTTTTGCATCTGGGCGCTGAAGCGGTTGTTGACAAAACAAGCAAAAAAATCAATCGAATATAGCAGTTAAAGTACTTTTTTCAATAGCTTCCAGTTGTTGAAAAAATGAAAATAGCTCCGGCGACAACACGAACAACAGCGCAACTCAATTAAAAAATTTTTAAAATTCCTCTAAAAAAGTATAAATAAAGAAACAGAAAATGATTGGCATCCGTCATAGTAGCAACACCCTGAATAATAGGGAGGCCCCCAAGAATAACACAGCCAGCAACAATGATGATATGGTGAACTCGGGTCTGAAGGCCAACTTTTCAAATAGTGACACAGATTTGTCCGTCTCTTCATCTATGATATCGTCGTCATCGTCTGCCATTTCTATTTTCAGCTTTGATGGCATTTCTGACTCTTCTTGCAACAACAATACAAATACCAACACTAACACTAATAGCTTAAATCCACCAGTTAGTGCGTCAACTCCAGATGACAATACTGTTTGTAGTGGTGGGGGTTGTAATTGTGGCAGTGGGCATCCCACAAAACAACTGTCGAGTGATGTCGATCCTATCATTATCGTTAGAGAAGACTGTATAAAGGATGATGATGATGACACTAATTATGGAACACCGCTGATTGAGACCATAGAAGAAAAATTAGCAAACAATAATACAGACAAACATAGGTGCATTAATGAAAAAATAGAATACAATATTGAAAGTAATAATGAAGCTAATAATAATACTATAATTTTAGGATCAATTAGTGATATGACTTCTACTACTAGAACTGATACCTCATTCAGTTGTCGGCCAGTTGGTAGTAATAATGATAATTTTAATAAGATGTCATTTTCAGATTCAGAATTGACTCTGTTTGATAATTCAAAATTTTCAAATTTGAATGACTCAGTTTTTGAATCAAACCTGGAAAACCTAACTCCGTATGATAACTTTAACAATGACCTAAATTCAAAAAATGAAAACAGTGATTTTGTCGTGTGTGAAGTTGACTCTGGAAATGACATCAGTTTAATCAGCAGGCCACAGAAGCCACAGCAGAGAGATGATAGCAATGAGACTTCTGCTAATTTTACCAAAGGCGATG